TAACTATCTTAACTAGATCTGTCATGATAATTACTATATCGTAATATCGAGCTTTATTTATAAATCAAGGCCGACTTCAGGGGTGTCCCATTTACACAGTGCATTTGCTAAACTATGTACATTAAAAATTTTAACCGTTTAATTTAGTCATTAAATAAATAAATAATTCAATATATGGAAGTTGGAACAATATTTTTCAGTATAAATCATGGGTACATTTTCATTGAACTACTGGGACATTTTGGATTATGTTAAGCAATATGAAACGATTTAAGCCATAAAAGGTTGAATAAATAACTTCTATCATTACTCATTACAGATGCAAACTAAGTAGTAAAGTATCTTATTCTGACGTTTATTTATTGCAGCTAATAATTTTATAACAATATTGTAGATTTAGAATAGCTTTTATGGTTTAAATCTGCTCTTGGGTTATTGGGTTTTCATTAAAATTTGTTATGATGACAGGCCTATGTTTAACAATTCCAACAACTGGTAAAATGGATTTATGTTAAAAGACATGAATAAACAATTTTAAAAAATGAAACAGTTCTGTATTTAAGCAACAAGAGTAGTGCTTTGTTAAGACTGTAGACTGTACAGATCTAGTGGTACAATTGCAATTATCTTTTCACATAATTATCATAAGAAATGTACCATGAATAATTATTGTCTTTTGTATATTGTGATACGAAATATTACTGTTTAATGTCCAATCCCTATATGAAGCACTGCAAAAAGATCTGTCTCTTTTTTGAGCATTTTGAGTCAATCGTTCTACTCTGTAATCAACATTATTTTGTCATATCACTCTGTATTTCATAATATCAAATGAACCTGACCCTGTGACAGTTGGCTCGTATCACTTACTCATGCTTTAATACTCTGATCCATTGTAAGTTAATGGGAGCGTCTGATGTTGATTCTTCCCACCAGGCGAATGCGACACAGCACCATAAGTGACAATACATTCATTTTACATTAGTGTGTGTGGGAGCGACCATCTGCTCCACAGCCCTCCACATTTCTCTCTGATTTATTATGACTTTCAGCTCGACGCCTTGTTTGAACCTCTGTGTGGTAACTTGTGTACAGCGTGACCCCGTTCAAGTGTGTAGCTTTGCCAAATAGTGAGTTTTGCAGTTAGTGTGAGTGTGTCTGTACATGTTTAATTGCATAGGCTTTTAACCCAGAGGCAACACCGGCACAAGTATTGAAGAAATCGCATCAGCCAATCAGATTTGAGCCCCGAAACCTCTTAGCAGCGACTTCCAGCAAAGATTTCGACCTTGAGGCGGGGTCATGAAACCGCGGTAACGGATCTGGTTTGCCGGGTCACATGTTGAAGCCATCAGCCAATCAGGGGGTCACGCGGGGTCACCTCCGGCCAATCGCAGCCGCAGTTAGAGTCCAGACGAACCAATTATGAGAGAGCTAGCCCCAGGGTCGGACTGAAGGAGGTAAGAGCGAGCACCTTTGTCCCAAAGAATACAGATAAAATGTATGTTTTTGAAAGTCAGTTATTTGTAAAAATGATTATAGCGAGAAGACAAACTTATTAATAAATTAATTATGGAGCTATTAGAATGGTTCAGAAGGACTTAATAAAATACTGTATAACACTGGCATAAAATGTGTCTCAAATTGACAACATGAAATATATAATTGGATTAATTCTGAGTGTTGATGTAATCGCCACAAATCAAGTATTTAATGAGCCCGAACAATTTCATTATCAACATTACAATGGAGCAATGAACACAGACGAAGTCAAATAATATAATATAATAATAAACTATTTAGCCCTATTGTCTACATGACACCAGCCATTATGATATTCATTATACACATTGCCAATGTGGTATAGGCCTAATAGAACTATATAGAAGTGCTTAATGTTTTAAAGATAGGCCTACTTGAAAATGACAAACATAAAAGCAAAGGAAACTCATAATTCCATTGCAGCACCACTTTGCCTAACCAATTTTCTGTGGGAAACAATGCATTTACTATTTTGAATTTAAGCAATAGGGGGACATTTATACAAAATGTAAATCTAGAGAGGTTCTTGACGCGCTTTTGTGAACTTAACTCATCGGTTTGGAAGACATAAACACTATTATAACACTGGATAAAACCCATATGATTTATCTGCAGCTGATTTTATTATTTCTATTGATCCCCTCTAAATCCTCTTTATCTTAAGTTAATATCCTGCGTCGTAAATGTGTCTTTAGTTGGTGGTTTTCTCACAGTGACGTCATGATTATTGTGGAGTGATGGAGCCGTGTTAACACAGGATCAATACAGAGGCAGACATCACATCACCCCCAGACCACAGGCCTGGAGAAGGGACATTTGCATGAGATAATTTGCATTTAGTTTTCAGTGTAGTTTCACTATGGTAGTTTTAGTGTTACATACTTTTGACTTCACATCTTTTCAGCACTCTTTGATACCCAATACAATATGTAACCAGTTATCTGTGTGAATCCATGAGCCAAGTCTATTCCCAAATACTTAATACGATAATTATTTACAGAACTATTTTTGCTTCAACTTGAGCCACATTATTTATCGGTTGTAAAAAGACTTGTTTGGGAATAGTCAAACTAGCATATGTTGGTACTGTTTTCAAAAGCTTTGAAAGTCACTAAAATGTAATATTTTGAAATATGGCCACTTTTTGTAGCAAATTATTTGGGAAAACCCCTCAGATAATGCATTTGATTCCTACACTGTTCTTTTTTGGATCCTCAAAAAAGAACAAAAGCGAGGCTGATAATCTGCACCATCAGCCCCAATCACAAATACACTACATTCATACAAAAGGTGGCTGAAGAGTCTTGCCCAAGAACATAACAACAAATAATTTAATCGAACCTGAACATGTACTTGAGTAACAGAATTTCAAAGTTTCTCTCGTTTAAGTACAATTTGCCCCCCTCTGCTTTGTGCCCCCCTTGGCCCTCTCCACCACTGTTAAAGCTGTTGTAATGGTGTGTGTTGGTAAACTGAGTGTTCTGGCTGATTTGACTAATAGCTTCAGTATGGAGCGCAGCATAAAGAGCAGACTGTCTAATTGTAGATGCCTGTAATGAGAGTCTGATTAGGGCCACATTGTAAACGAGTGGAGGGTCGTTAATGTTTGACTAATCTACAGTCATTAGTCCCACAGTGTCTGGCCCGGGACTGAACCAGGCCAGGCCCATAGATCCACACACACACACACCAACATACAGTGGAGAGAGCTGTTTAGTATGCAGGCATGTGCTCGCTAAAGTACTGACGGAGCTATGTACTAGAGCAAAATGTTAGCGACAGGACAAATGCCAGAAAAAATAGGAATGCAAACTTGACGTCTGCTTTTCCTCTTCCGCACATGAGAAATAAAATAATGTTTATAGAATTAAGTACTTGAAATTGATTGATAATAATAAAATGTATGCAGAGTGTTTGCTGGTTTAATTATTGCATAACAGTAAGTACTCCAGAGGTGGACTTGTTTTCTGGGAACTATGAGGCTCCACTGGTAGAGCACTTAACAAATACTACACTGGGTCCATACACTCAGCGCTATTTCTTCCCATGTTTCAGTTGATCAGTATATTTCATACAATTTCATATTCACAAATTACATCAACTTAAGTAAAAATGAAAACTACAATAACACAAATTTAAACTACAATAAAAGTATAATAAATGTGGTCAGCAGCAGTAAGAGGGTATTTTTTTAACTGTGTTTTTTGAATGAGTTTCATGTAGTCAGTATTTTCAAACTCTGATCTTAATGAATTATTATATATGCCTACAGAATACATCAACTTTTTTTTTTGCAATCTATAGGCATAAAATACAAATAAGTGTCTAGGAAAGTATACCAACTACCACTACACAAGATTTCAATTCAAATGAGCCATTCAGCTGATTCATATTAGGGACCATATTGTTTGCACACTTAAAATCACTTAATTTTCTGAAAAATTGAAAGTGGACCTTATAATCCGGTGCACCTTATATATTAATTCTGGTTGAGCTTACTGACCTCAAACCAATTTTCACATATATTCCACCGAGTCCTGTTCTTTAATCTGACAGAATCTGACCGCATCAGCGCACAAGGAGCAGCTGTTTTTTTTTATTGCTTATAGTTTATGCAAATTAGCCATGTGGTTTTAAGTTCTGTTTTTGTAAAATGTAAACAAATGTGTGCAAAGCTGCATTAAACACATTATTACTAAATCTATATTTGAGTCCTCCTCGTAGGAAATAAAAATGTCTCAAGTCTCAAGTATCATCCGTTTGTTTCACTTAAGGCGCCTTATAATCCGGTGCGCCTTATAGTCCAAAAAATACGGTAATACTAATTGTTCAGAGAGACACAATCACTCAGTCAACAATAAAATATCCTCATTAATGTTCAATAATGATCACAACTTGTCTATTGACTTAGGTCGCGAAGAATTGTGACTTTTAAAATATGGGTCCCCAGAAAAAAAGTTTGGGAAACACTGATTTAAAGGGCCTAAATAATGCTGTTTTCTGATCTATGTTATAACGTTGTTTCCTCATCCAAAAACATACCTGGAGTTGTGTTTTGTTTCATTCACAGATGTTTAACATACAAACCCTCCATATTTAGGTGGAGTTCTTCTCTCAAACTGAAACATGAAAACTACCACTACATGACATCACAAGGTAGGACAGAGAATTATGAGCTTTGATGATGCGGGATTACTAAAACACATGTGAAAAAAAACAAAACACAACTCCAGATATGCTTTTGAGGAGACAACAGCTTTATAATGTCTTAAATCTCACAAGAGTCACTTTTGCTTAATCTCAAACTCAAGGAACTCTTTTTGTAAACTTGCCATTAAACCACTGTACAAGGAAAGTCTCATACCTCGGCCAGTCAGTGAAATGCAAACATAAAAAGGGAACACTAAAAAAATCCTCTGCTTCTGTTGGTCGTATCCCGCAGTGGTATTCAAACTCACCAGTATAAATGAAGCGTCCGGGGGTGCCTTTGCAGAACTGTTTGGACTTGTAGGACAGAGTGACCTCCACCACTCCAGGGATGTGCCGAGGCGGAGTCTGGACCCGGATGGCGTGAGGCGTGATCAGCTGCATTCAACACAAAAACACAGGAAAATAATGAATACTCTGTAGTCTTCCTGGACACTCCTGCTCACCCACTGCACTAGACTATAGAGGGACAGAGGAGCTCATTCTCCAACGGGCTCCTAAAGCTCCGCTCAAACAGTGAGAGATACAGGACAACATTCGAACACCATACCCCATACAACTGTACAATAATTCACCTTTATGTCACAGATAACCCTATGTCCTGTCAATCATCATAGCATCTTTGCACTGTTTTCCTTATGACCACTGTATATTGCGGAGATACTGTATTTTTATATAAGTCACACTTTTTCCATGGTTTGGGTGGTCCTGCGACTTATACTCCGGTGCGACTTATATATAAAAATTTTCAGACTGACAGCCGCGAGAGGGCGCTATAAGCTCGTGTGTCAGTATCTACTATTACTCCTGTACCACTGTCAATTCGCACTCTACTAAGCATGTCTCCTGTAGAAATAGCTGCTGTCTAGCTGCAAACAGTGAAATATTCAGCCAAAAACGGTAATCGAGCAGCAGAAAGAAAGTTTGGAGTGAGCGAAAAACTTGTGATTGACTGGCAGAAAGCGGGATTGGAGAACACAGCTTCATGGCAACCGGGCGGGTGCGCCATGTAACTTTCCTGGAAGTTACTGGATGAATCAACAAAGCCTTAACTTCAATGACAATTGAAACCATCCTGTCGGGATTCAGAAAGACCGGAATAATTCTAACTGGAACTGATGCTGAGTTTGACGACAGCTACGCAGAGGGAAGGAAGTGGCGCGCTGTTTACCTCATGGATCTATGGTTTATCTCCAGAGGTCACGCAGAAGTGAAACCGAGGATGAAGAATTCAATGGATCTAGTGATTTGGAGTGAGATTGTGAGTTTGGTAAACTTATGTTATGTTGTTTATGCTATAATTATCTGAATATGTTACGTTAACATATTATTCAGCCTGTTGTTCTCTTCTGTTGTTATTAGTATAACTTGCCTTTCAAGATGAAATGTCGGTTCCTGGTCTCTGATTTTACAAAATACATTTCCCCAAAAACTGCAACTTATAGTCTGGTACGACTTATATATGTTTTTTCTTCATTGTGCATTTTTTGGCTGGTGCGACTTATACTCCGGAGCGACTTATAGTCCAGAAAATATGGTACTTATTTCTATTTTATTTAATTTTTACTTGTACATACAAATGTATATAACTATGCCTTATTTGACCAGTCTCTTTCCATTTTTGCTATTTATTTAGAATTTATTATTACCATTTCTATCTTTTCTCTTTGTCATTATAATACATTGTGATGAGTGAGCTACTGTGTCCAAGTCATTTCCCTTGTGGATCAATAAAGTTTGTCTAAGTCTAAGTCGAACTCTTATGGTCTCTACTGTCCAGTATGGTTTCAGATCTTGGTCACGATCTCCAGTAGAAAGTAAATGTAAAAGTTTATTTTGAGTTCTCGTTCGATGCATTTACACTTGTCCGAGTGCTGAAAGAAAGCTCTGAGCTGAGTTTGTTTTCATTTTGATTTAATGCTTTTTGCATCAAATCTGATTACAGCGTTGGACCCAGTGCTGTTTATGTAACATTTGCAGAGAGACGCACGGCTGCTTTTAGTATCTACTGTACATTTTATGACCAAAACTTGTACAAATATTTGTGAATGATTACTGATAGGATTCAATTTAACTTTTAGCACTAATGCAATCTTGCTTTACATATTGATCCACCCATGTTAAGTGCAGCGGTTCTCAACAGGTGGCTCTGGACCCAATAGAAATTTGCAGGTAGTTTCAGTTTTCTGCATAGACACAAAATATACTTTTGTTTTGTCCATATCTTGTGCAGTGATTTGGCTTTTTACGTCAGATGCCCTTCCCACATCGCACATGGCAATACAGGCCCGAAATGGTAAAACAGATATAATAGCATTGTGTCAAAAAAGAGATATTAAAACTAAAGCATATACTTAAATTAAAGGGAGTATTATACAGGATAAATTTTTGGAGATTTCTACCATAATATTGTTCCCTCATTAAAACATGCCTAAAGAGGTTTGAGATGTCATGTCAGATGTTTCAGTAATTTAGTGATCTCTCCATGGCTCTATTTGAACCCACAAAGCTACGTCATCCATGCTCCTACATGACAATTCTCCATAAATATGCAAAAACATGATACAAAACTGTACACAACAACTTGACAGATCTATTGTGTACAGATTTCATTAGCAGGTTGCACGCTCTGAAGGGGGGAGTAACTTAGCATGGGAGAGCAAAGGGACAGGGGACACAAAAGCATAAAAAATTTGAAACTTAAAACACATTTTAATCCACTGTTTTTAGCATTTTCAAAACAATAAAAATAACATGGTGATCTAAATATGTTATGTGTTAGCAGTTAATACCCCATAGACATGAAACGGCCCCTCTTAATGTCAAAAGTGTGCTACAGTAAAATATTGTAGATTCAATTAAATTAAGATGAAAAAGGAGTACTACTACTGCTTTTAGTGTTCATTTTATCAGAGGCACTTTGTGTTGTATCTAACTTGTATTCTCAAGTGTCCCATGCTTTATCTGGGCTCTCGCTGCTCTTGAGCTAATTGCCCTGTGGGGACAAATAAACTCTGTGAACAGAATGTGGGATGGTTAAATGACACGACCCTACACCAGAAATCAAGCACTACTTTAACTACAATCCAATATGTGCCTTAGACCTATGTATAGACCTGGTGCAAAGAGAACATTGATTCATCTATTGATCTGAACAAGGCGATAAATATTTAATGCTGCAGATTTGGCCTGTCTTAAAACTCCTTTGACCCACATATGAAATAAATTGTAAATCAAAAGATATTAAATGTGGTTCTGGTATGATAAGGTAATAATAATGTATTGGATTTATTTATAGAACCTCTCTGCAGAGCTAGCAGCCCCCGGTAGTTCATTCTATATTCAGTCTACACAGTGGTGATGGTAAGCTTTATCCCATGGGGCTGCCCTGGGACAGACAGACAGAGAAGTGGCACTCATACCAAGACAATATTCTCAGTAACAGTTGGATAAAGTGTCTAGCCCAAGGACAGAACATAAGTATGCAGCGCTTGCAGTAGAAATCTATTCGAAAAGGTTTTCCTTCTGAGCCACTACTAATAGTAATTTAATGTATTCTTGTTAGTGATGATGTTACTTTTTAGAGTTACTTTCTAATTATTGTACATCATAACAATTTGTAAAAATGCTTCACTTTGATTTTGATTTTTAAAAATGTATTTAGTATAGGACCAGCTTTATGAAATCAGACTTTCAGAATGATAAAGTTAACGTGACATAAACAGTCAGATAAAAAGTACTTTACGTTTCATGGTATAAGACTGAATTTGAGGGACTTAAATGAGGTTTTATTCTTTAGGTAGTTAAAGGTGCATTGTGTAACTTTTCTGGTGGAGGGTTGGTCAAATTTTTTTCTCCATGGAGATGTTATTGCTTTGTCTGGAATGTTTCACACTATGACATTAAAGAGCTCTACTTTATTTAATTACAGGTGGTTTTATTGCTCAAAAATACCTAGAAAAACAGGCATTCTGACTATGAGCGGGGTTGCCTCTCCACAGATCTGAACTGTAACTACTGATTTGGTCTCCATAAAGATAGAAAGGTTTAATACTACACTGTTAAACATTCCAGACAAAGCAATAATATCTCCATGTAGAAAAGTATTTGATGGACCCTCCACCAGAAAAGTTACACAATGCACTTTTAACATTGTGACCTAAATTACCTAATCATGTATTATCAATTATCAATAAACCAAATAACCTTGACATTTCTAGTCCTGATTTACCTTGTTTTGTCATTGAGACAGTTCTCAAACTCTGACGATCCCAGTCCCGCTGTAGCTGCCAAACATAAAATCACTTTCACTAATTTCCCAGCTAACATTTATCTCTCTTCACACTCAATAATAATGAGGCTAAATGAAACGTTTAGTTGGCTTGGATCCACGTGTAGAGCCACCCATTGAGCTGTGCGGGTCTGAGCAGTTCTGTGTACATGAGAGTGACTGTAAGTGTGCCTCTCAACATGGTAAACAAACTGCACAGTCCAGGTAGGAGCCAGCATCTACACCCCACACTCACTAGCCCTGTGTTATAGTTGGACCAGAGCCACAGCCGCTCAGAGACAAATAAACAGCGGCTGAGAGGGGCGCGGGGGGAGAGGAGCGGGATACAGCGCTGTGTGGGCATTCGAAAAGATGGCTATCGCTGATCTGCTGATGGGATCGCAGTGAAGGATTGTGGGTAATAGGGCATTAGTGGGGGCTTATTACAGGGGTAAATTTAAGCGTCTTTCGCATATGCACTTTGGAGGGTCTCCGGAGAGTCACATCTGGGAAAGTTGCGAGTGCAGAGAAAGAGTGCAGAGTGTACAAGAGATGGTGTTTGCCTTTTATAACTAGAAAAACAGATTGTAGTTTATAATTTTCACTTTATATATTTTCAAATCAGGCATTTTCTTTCTGTTTTCTGTTTTCTTTCTGGACTGTACCACACAGAGGTGGTGTACCAGAGACGGATTCCTGGCGCTGATCATTTGGCTCTCTCTGCACTTCTCTCCCATTTCACCATTACATCTGTCCTATGCAATGAAGCTTATACAAACCAAAGAACAACTACTATATCATCTGACCGCCTGGCCTTAAAACTAAAGTTGGGTATAGACTTTAATGCATGTAATACTATAAGAGGAAAAACATGCAATATATTGTACGTTTTGATCAGGGGGGGCTTCAATGGACAGGACAGTTAGCAGCATGAAATGAGGTGATGAGTGGGGAGAGACATTCAACATAATGCTGGAGCCAGGACTTGATGTCATGCTGAGGCCATGACCAGAGACCAGACTCTTTAGCCATTGAGAGAACAGATTTAAAACAATAATAAAAGTGTGCTATGATAGACATACGATCAGTTGCACTTTTGACTTGAGTACTCGCTACTTTTGCTACTTTTCAACATGAACTTCACAGATAACAGAATATAGTTCAAGTGAAAAAAAGTACTTTAAAAATTTAGGGCCTAGTTTTAACACATGCAGACCTTGAGAGAGGCCCAGTGCAGAGTGAGCAGAGAGTAGCATGTGTGAAAGAGGCTTTAGATAAACATGAACTGCTAACACTGCTCACTCTAAGGATTGCGCACAGCTAAGAGAGCATGAGAAGTGTGTTTTGGTATTAAGTTACTTCCAGAGCACCAAGGACATAAACACCACGAGAGGTTGGAATAACACACAAGAAGAACCCACCTCGCTCCACACCAGCATGGTCCCAAAGATCACCTGCAGACCGTCAAAAAAGTTGTCCCCGATGATGATGACTGTAGCGCCCCCTGTGGTCCAGCCCTCACTGGGACTGATGGCTTTAATACAGGGAGCTGCTCCTTGAGAAAACAAGACATACTGTTATTATGCTTTACTTTTTTTTTTTTTTCATATTTATTTATGTTTAACATGTGATTATGTTTTTATGTTCTTTTGACCACATCAAATTATTAACAAAACTAGTCATTTGAACTAAACGTAAGTACACAATGTGACATTTCTGGTGGGGATTTTGTCACCTGCTTATCTTCATGTTTATAATTACCGTTCCACAGCATGATTTTATCTGAATGAATGAATTTATCTATCTCCATGGGGTTACGAGGCCAGGTTATAGATCAGATCTGTGGAGAGGCAACCTTGCTCATAGAAAGATGCAGCATTTTCATATTTTAGAGAAGTAAAAACAGCTATACTTGCTTAAATGCAACATAGGTATGTTTAAGACCAGCAGAAAAGCAACAATATCTCCATGGAGACGACAGACGGTGGCCGCCCTCCACAATATTAAATGAGAGCAATGCCATGTTGGTTGCATCTGTTTGTGTTACACCCTACAATTACTTGGGGATTCACCAGGGAGTACCTGCCTCACACCCAAAGCAGCTGGGATAGACTTGAGTCACTTGGGAGCGGTCATAAGGGGTACTGAATGGACGTAAAACCCATAAGGTTTCCAATGTTAAAGTGCTGAAGTATGAATGGACTGTGATGATGTCATTCTCCTTCACTGGTGTGTCCCTGTGTAACGTTTGGCACTGTCGCTGTTGTCATAACTTCCCAAAGGCAGAGGAAATCTGTTTTGGATCAGCTTCACACTTTCACTCAATATATTCATGCTACACCCTCAGTGTATGGCCACTGTCCAGGTCACAGCTCTGTCCTCACCAAGCAAAAACGCCATTAGCTACATGTGTTTTATTATGCTAGCACATTATACAGCACCTATGTCATCATACAGGGCATAAATGGCTCAATAGGGATTTTAAATGGTTCAATATTGATGTTTTTCAGCTGTGGCCAATGCCCAATACCACTTTCAATATTTTAAAATCTATAGCAGGGCTCACAACTTGAAGTGAAGTTGTAGTTAAGTTCACAATGAACTTATCCCACACCAAAACAATAATGATATATTAATCATCACCAGTATTTTATATAAATTAATATCGCTTTTTATGCTAATGATGAGGGGAACTAAATGTGTTCAATCAATCACAAGAAAAAATGAGAAGAAATCATAGTTTATTTCCAATTAGAGATGGGCAAAATGTTAAAAATACTGCAAAAAGAACTGATAAAAAAAAAAAACTTTTGATACTTAAACCTCAATTTTAGGGATTTGTTAGACTGATGTAATACTGTCTGAATACTCGCTCACTGCTATTTACTTACACTCCTTGCTTTATTTGCTGTTACTGAACTTTTTTTGAATTTCCAGGAATGTGGTTATAAGTATTTTTTGATGGAATTGTTTTTGGTTTAATCCTGATTAAATCGTGCTGTAGTTTAACCCTGCGCGTGTAATGGTAACTCATCTGTAAGAAAGCCCCTTTTATAGTATAGTATAGAGCTATTTAGCCCACACATCACAAGTGTTCCTGTGGTCCTGCTCTGTCTGTTTCACAAAGCATTCTTAATGATAGTGATATTCCACACACACTTTTGTTTTTGGTGTGTGTGTTGGGTGGGATTAACCAGATGGAGGGGCAGAAATCACCTGATAGGATTAAGCCATCAGCCATCTGCCGCCCGTGCTGCTAACAGCCCCTTTCACTCACACTTACACACATACACTCTCACACACATACACACTCACACACGGCAGACAAAGTACCGTGCTCGAGGTACGACGGCGTCCCCTCCACAGGGTCCAGTCTGCGGGCACGGCGGCCATGTTTGGAGTTGTTATGGACGAACATGTTGTCGGAGACGGCCAGCACATGTCCCTCCACGCTCACCGTAGTTGACACCACCACCTGAGGGAAGACAGACAAACAGTGGTTAGATGTTAGATGAGTTTCCCAAGCAACAACACTGGATTTAGGAACAAGAGAGGACCGCAGAAACACATCTGCAAATGTTTTCAGGACAGCAGATTAATCACATTCAAAAGGAAATGCAGTTTGAATGTTCACAATTAACAAATATCACATCACATAGTTTCCTCTGCAAACAGCTAAATATATAAATCATCAAATTTTAATTGTGATCAGTTCAAGTTCATTTTAAGTCATTTTAAATCATCAGTGATCAGCTTGGATCTCATTAATTAAAAAGTCTACAGCAAATCCACTGGTTTGGAGCAGATTTTTTAGGAATAAATTTAACTATTTGTTAAATGTCTGTATTGTTTATGTTTAGGAAATTCATATTGGTATAGGGTGACCAGGCGTCCCTATTTGCCAGAGATAGTCCCAATTTTGAGCCCTGTGTCCCCTGTGTCAGTAGATTTCTCCAAAACCACTGGTTTAGTTATTTTTAACCAATTTGAGCCCTGTCAACAGTAAAGAGAGGCATACATTGAAATCTGTTTAGGTAAAATACAGAAAAGCTGCTTAAAAATGATCAAAAAACAAAGAAAATGTGACTATACTGACTCACATGTTAGTCATAAATGGGCCGAGTGCAGAACAGCTTTCCTTAATTACGCACTCATTTCACAATTTTATTATTATCAACCACCCCGAACCAGGGTGTCCCAGTTTTTGATTTTGAAAATCTGGTCACCCTATATTAGTAGCAATTTTTATTTGTTTTGAATAAGACAAAATGAAGTGAGTAATTGTAACTTCTGCAAATCGACATTGATGCATAAAACTATAACACATACAAGGGTCTCTTAAGCAGTAATAGTCATTTTCCTTTAGAACAAAAGCCAGGGTCAAATTTTTCCCTTATATTACCTTCCCTTTTATTCAACTGTAGTTAATTAAGTGGCACAACCCTTTGTTTATACATCTTATTAAAGTGAAACATTTAAAGAAAAACAAGACAACTACTTTACTGCTTAAGTGTGTGAACATGTGGACTCGCTTATACCATAATATTTTCAAAAGCGAGTATGCTAAAGTGGATAAAGTGCAGGAGAAAATGAGGCATTAAAGAGTTTGGGGTCTGCAGATCATTGCGTGACGAGTAGAAACCACAAAAGTGTGAAAATCTTCTTAAGTGTACGCTGTTATCGCAGTTATTACCAACACACTGTGCCCACATTAGGCCCTTAGTCCTTTAAGTGTATGTATGCGTCGCGTCTATCCTCCTCCGTTCAATAGGTCCTGATGGGTCCGCCCCTTAATTATCTCCCAGGGAAACAGAGCTGTCTTCCGGTGGTTCCACTACAATAGAGCCGCACAATTAGAGGCGCAGATACTGTCACACTGGCCACTGAACGACTCTCTTACCCATGTCCAATCAAATATTAGCTGAAACGCACACACATTCTACACACATGGTGGGCTATTGTGGTAGATAGGGTCGAGCGGAGACAAAAGCGCACGTGGAGGGGTAATAAATCAGAATCGGTATCTCCACACTGTCCACTCTAACTCAAGAGCTGTCTTCCTGATTGTGTTGGCCGGGGCTGATAAGGAAATAATAAAGATTGCAATGCACTAAATCTTACTCACATTCATGACAAGACATGTTTTATATGTTTTGTTGTTTTGTCTATTTGGTTGGTTAAAATGTATGCAAAAGTAATACAATTATCCTCACACCTTTTATATACTAGAGAACTAATACCAGGATGTTTCTTTGTAAATGTTAGTACCTGGAATCTCCTCATGTCCCGTGGGTTTCCTGCATTCTTTAAACAGTTCTGGTTGCATTTGAGGAAGAACTTGAGGAAGAATCTGGAAAAAACATAGACAATTTAAGGTTAGTGGTTGTGTAAAGAGGGGGTATTTTATATTAACTGCTAACACATAACATATTTAGATCACCATGTTTCCTTTTATTGTTTTGAACATGCTAAAACAATGTATTCAAATGTTTAATAGGTTTCACTTTTGTTTTTGACCGTCCTTTTGTTCTTCACTCCCCTTCAGAGCGAGATCACAACGCAATCAACGCAATGTTTTGTTTGTTGTATTTATATTTGAATTTTTTTTGTACCATTTCTATAATAAGACCGCATTCATTCTGTTGTGTGAATATATTAATACAAATAGAGAAGACCAAACTACCAAACCCAGTGAGTGACACGGGAGCATATGTCCTGCCTGTATATTAGCCCATATAAATCGAGCTCAGTGAAGTCGCAGATGGAGCAGACAGTGAACAAACAGGTTGCACAGGTTGTGTTTTGGTGTGAGCAGCTGCCTGTCCTGGCATCGCCGGCACACTGCCACATGTGCCCAGTTTAAATTAACAACAATATAAAACCAGTGGCACAATGGGAGGTGATGGACGGCTGCTGTTCAGGCTGCACCATAAAAGACACTGCTTGTTTAGAGCTGGGAATCGGTGCTAGTGGTCAGAGTTAAGATTTAGTTATCCAAATCAGAAGAACTAAAAATACAAAACTAACTAAACTTTGCAACAACTTTGGAAGCATTGTTTCTCATTGTGTGGCATCTTTTTGTCTCCCAAGGCTACAGTTTAACACCAGTGAGTAGTATGAGAATAGAAGGATGAATAAATCATGAAATTGTAAAGAAACACTGTGCGTCTCATTGACACTTTATACTAATACGAATTAATTATCAGAAAATGAGATGAAAACTCAGATCTGGCAAACAGTTTTACATTTTAATTGTTTATCTGAAACAGCAATTACTACAACAGCTAAATAATAAGCAAAACAAAACCTGGACTAGAACTGGATCAAAGCAAGTTTACATCAGAACTAAACCAGAATCAAATCAAATCAAACCAGGACCAGTGTGGACGCAGCCTTAGTAAAGAGAGTTTGTTATAATAGTGAATAATATAACAGAGTTCTGAATCTGAAGTTCAAGAGTACAACTACTTTCAAGATAAAATAATTCAAGATAAGTTTAATACTTAATGGACACGAGGGAGCTGTCCATACCCAAAGTCCAAGAACATTATGCGCTGTACTTTTTCTATTATTCCCATCACCGTAATTGGCCTGTTTTAAAGTTTACTTGCATGTCAAAGTTTTCTTTAAAGTCCCACTGTTTACATAAATGAGCGGAAAAATAAGTGAAAACAAACTTTCTCAATAATTCTTCCTTGACTGCCCCACTGTTTTAGCTGACAGCCCTATACTCCGGACCAGAACAAAGCCCTGTGCTACAGCTTGTATCTCCTATAATAGTGTGTGAGCAGTGGCAGGTCGCAATGTAAAACTCATGCATTAACGAGCTCTGCCTTCGTTAGTACACCGACGCCGGGAGAGTCCGCATGCCTAATTACGCCGACCCTTGACCCCCGGGTGACAGCCTATCAGAGCGCAGGACAGCCACGGTGACCCCCAGTGACCTTGCACTGTCTAGCCCTCCTCACAACACTAGCATAGCGTTAACATTAAGTGCTAGTACGGCTACGGTAAAAGAGCTGTTACAGTTTTATACACTTACTCATCTGCAATGGAAAAAAAAAAAAAAGAAAGACGTTAAAGATCCAAATACAACTGAGTGTGTTTGCATATAAAATGATGAACCGGAGCGCCACTGAATATTTAAACAACGTAGTGAGTGTCTATTAGTCGTTTTAATGCTTGGACAGGTTCCAGCGGCCTGCAGAAATCTACTGCTGCTTCTCTGTGTTACATGGGTGAATAAGTAATGTGCACTATGAAATGATAGCCTGGAAAATAGACTTCTTTATACATAAGAGGTACTGCACATTAAGAAGGGTGCTGAATCAATGAGTGAAGCACTAAACTCAGATATGTCACTAAAAAAACAAATCTGATAGCACCATCACTAAGGTTGGAAATCATTAAGAAATTGCTGATACGATACATACCTCGATACATAGGCCACGATACGATACATATCTCGATACAGTGCACTTTTGATTTGATAAGATATATTTTAAATCGATATGGTTCAATAAAAAATAAAGGCTAAATCATGGCTGCGATACTAAAAGTCTTTGTTTAACCACTTCTTGTGCAAAGTTCATATGAAACACGCACATTTTAATCATCAAAACAGTGAAAATGTCAAATGTGTCACATAAATGAGTTTCCTTCCTCTAAACAAGCAACAAAACTGTAGCGCTATAACAAAATAATTTAGCAAAATATACAAAAATATACTCTTGGTGATATATTGATACAGCAGCCCACGACATCAATACTGTATCATCACATTAAACGATACAACATACTTTTCGATACAGCTTTCGATTCAATTCAGTGAAAGGCTAAATCATGACTGTGATACTAAAAGTCGACTAAAAGTCAAGTTTGTACAAAGTAAATATGAAAAACGCCCATTTTACACAAAACAGTGAAAATGTCAACACAACTTTAGCTCTTACACAAATTAATTTAGTAAAATATACCTAAAAATATTCTTGATGATATATCGATACAGCAGCCCACGATATCAATATTGTATCAGCACATTATGTGATGTGATATTTTGATATTTCTGCACAGCCCTAACCATGGCTTTGGTCGAACTTGAGAGGAGAAGGAGTGCGTGACTTGCTCAGAGTAGTGTTTAACATTATTTTCTAATATTTATTTATCTAGATTTTTGAGTGTCTATTTCCACTCTCTTGCTGTTCTTAAACTGTGAGTTGCAACACTGGAATTCCCCCCTTCTGAGAAATAATTCCCCCCTTCTTATCTGTGTAAAAAACACAGCGATATCATTTTAGATTTGCCAGTCAGAAAATACATTATCACTACAGAAAAATAAATAAATGCTAGACTGGATTATGAAGAGAAAATCACTGCTTGTCCAAAGTGTAATAAAACAGCCCATAAAAAAACAATTAAGAAAATATTATTATTTATGATCTGAATTATTTAAAAGTAAAACAAAATTTCCTGATCTGTCACTTAACCATTTCATCATCTGAGCATTTCGTTACCAATTATTTCCCATATTTTGAGTCCTGGGAGAGCGCTTTCCTTCATCGATTGCTAACGCCAACAGAATATATTCAACATTTTAATGCAGTGATACCGGTCTTCCCCCTTCACTTGACCCCATCTGGCCTAATCAACCACGCTACAGAGCCCCCTCCAGCTACGCACATCCGCACCATCTCCATGTGAATTGATTGGCCTGCGCCTTCAGTGGTCGTTAAGAGGCCTCCAATTAAACAGGGCAATTATAAGAGTCAGATTTAAGGTGGTATTATGAGGGGGTGCACTATCTCGCCTCCCCCCCCGCCCGCCCCCTCGCTCGTCCGATCATGTTCAAGTGATAACAGTGCCGTTGACCTTTGCTATATTGTGAGCGCCGCACTTTAGCACTGACCTAACAGCCGCCCCTAATGCTGTGAACACACATAGACACAGGGCTAATGGCACAGGAGCACGCAGGAGGAAGGAGGGGGAGAGAGGGAGTGAGGAGGAGAGAGAAGGAGGGAGAGGAAGAGAGAGGGGGAGAGAGTAAAGGAGCATAGAGGAGCAGTAAGGAGGAGAAACGGAGAGAGAGGAGGAGCAGTAAGGAGGACAGGGGGTAGAGAGAAGGAGAGAGGGAGAGAGAAGGAGAAAGGAAGAGAGGGGAGGGGAGGAGAATGGAGGACCACAGGGGAGAAAGGAGGAGTAATACGGAGAAGAAAGGGGGAGAGAGGAGAAGCAAGAGGAGGAGCAATAAGGAGGAGAGAAGGTGAGAAGGGAGGAGCATTAAGGAGGAGAGAGGCGGAGGGAGGAGGAGCCGTAAGGAGGAGAAAGGGGGAGAGAGGAGGAGTAAGGAGGAGAAAGAGGGAGAATGGAGGAGCAGTAAGGAGAAGAAAGGGGAAGAGAGGAGGAGCAGTAAGGAGGAGAGAGGAGGAGCATGGAGGAGCAGTAAATATGAGAGAGGGGGAGAGAGGAGGAACAGTAAGGAGGAGAAAGGAGGAGAAAGGATGAGCAGTAAGGAGAGGGGAAGAGAGGAACAGGAAAGGAGAGAGGAGGAGAGAAGAAGGAGAGGAGCAGGAGAGAGGAGGAGAGAGGAGGAGAGGAGGAAGAGAGGAAGGAGAGGAGAAGAGAAGGGAGAGAGGAGTAGTAAGGAGGAGAAGAGGGGAGGAAGAGGAGGAAGAGGGAGAGAGGTGGAGCAGCAAAGTTGAGAGAGGGAGAGAGAAGAGGAGCAATAAGGAGGAGAGAGGAGGAGAAGTAAAAAGGACAGGAGGAGAAGGAGGAGTGAGGGTAGAGGAGGAGCAGTAACAAGGATAGAGGAGGAGCAGTAAAAAGGAGAGAAGTAAGGAGAGAGGAGAGTGCTGGATCTCCTGTCATTAAGCAGGGAATGTATTGGGCAAGACTAACAGATAATTTATTTTTTAGTGTAAGCAGAGGAAATTTCTCAGCAAAACACAGAAAGTTGTACCACCTGTAACAGATTATAGAAAATGGTCTGTGCATATTTTCACAATATTAGAAAGAAGGAAGTCTGTTTTCGTAATAATTTATCATTCAACCAGGGACCATCCATAGTTTTAATGTGTCTTAGTAAATCTAGATGTGAGTGTGTCAAAATCAGAACACACAGATGTGAATTACAGCCAATACAAGCTAAACAAAATGTGCATTCAAATCAATCAGTCCGTTCAAATATCCCGTATATTTACATTGGCATATGGACAAGACACAAGACTCAGTGCATGGGGCTTTTAAATACATTAACAATCTTACTTAATACCAAAGGAGCAATCAAATGAACGAAAATCACATCTGCAGGCATGAATGTTATTCTTAGAGCTTGCACTGTAGGAGTAAACTTTT